TGGAGCATGCCAGTGGATATAGAGTCTGCAGAGAATTAAGCTACTAAAATCTGAGAAATCTCTACTTAGTACAGTATGTGCTAAGTCTGACTTTTTTTTAAAGGCTTAAAACTTGCAGATTTGACAAAAGGCTTGTTCCTGGTAAACTTCACATCCCTGATCGAGTTTCACAAAGAAGAAGCTCACCAGACTGTTTTAGGATGGGCCGGGACGGGATGCACTTATTTCTCTCTGACCTCATTCTCAGAAACCATTGTGGGTGAAATTTTCCAAAACGCTGGCAGACAATCATCATGCAAAATTTCAGCCCTAATGGTTTAAAATTTGCAAAATGTATAAGCCTCTAGTAACAGGGTCTTATAATGGGAAGTGTCAGCTAATCTTAATAATAGGTGGAACTGCCAGCTCTGGCTATTGTAAAATATTTTTTCTGTTTAATATTTTTAAAAAGTCAATGTGAGGGTTTGTGAAAGGCCAGTCTGACCACATTGGAAGCTCAAATTGTTCATGTATAGCTCCATGTATAGCTGTACTACTAGCTCCATCATCACCCAGTCTAACCAACATGCCTCAGGGATCACCTCTGGTTGTGAGAGGCAAGAGGAGTTCAGTCTCCAGGTTTTTTTAGTCCCTGCCCTTTCTGTGGCTTGAGACTGACAACAGGCATGTCAGTGACAGTACTTTCTTTGATGTGAACATCTGCTTACTAGGGACTGATCTGAAACTATCAACACCTGTCACACTAGCCACTGATGGGATATCAGAGGGCAATAACTTTTGGTCAATATTCATTGGGTCTGAATTTAAATGAGACTTCTAAACATGAAAGTTACTGAAACACTGATCAGTTCTTACCTAGAACAGGGGCAGGCAAAACGCAGGCTGCATCTGGCCCACCAAGCCACTGGTTCCAGCCTGCAGAAGCATCAGCCGGGCTCCCTTCCTGCCAAGCCCCTACATGCTGCTCAGAATAGCTCTCTGAACGCTGCAAGCCCAGGAGAAGAGGGGAGAGGCTTTGCATGCTGCTCCCACCCTCAGCACAGTCTTGCAACTCCCATTGGCCTGTTTCCAGCCTATAGGAGCTGCCTGTTTGCAGGACAGGCAGCGTGCAAAGTATCCCTTAACCCTCTAGGCTCACAACAGTCACAGCTCCACATAGCCCATGTAGCTGGTGCAGGATCATGGTACGCAGGAAAACTGACTGAGAAACCTGCTGGGCTGCAGCCTGGGAGCCACCCAGAAAATGTCTCCCAGTCAAAGCCTGCCTCTGGCAACCTGGCCCCTCCCTCCCCCAACCCTCTGCCCCACTCCTGCACTGCTGCCTCTTCCTAGATCCTGTACCCCAATCCCCTGTCCCAGGTCATAACCCCCTCCGAGACCCTCCACGCCCTCCCACAACCCACCTCCAGGTCACAATCCCCTCCCAGACCTTCCACCCCAATGTTCTACCCCTGATCACAACCCAGATCCCTGCACCCACTCCTGCCCCAAGTCACAGCCACCTCCCAAACCCTGCACTCCCTCCTCCTGGTCAGAATCCTTTCCTGCATCCATATCCCTTCATGGATCTTGCACCCCAGTCTCCTGCCTCAGGTCACGATTCCCTCCCAGATCCCACACTCCTCTTGCATTCCAATCCCCTATCCCAAGCTCCCTTCTGCACCCAACCTCCATCCCAGACTCTGCACTTTCTTCATTAATATGGAAGAGTGCAGCCCTTGACCGCATACCAAAGTCTTGTAGTGGCTACTCTATCAAAAAAAAAAATTGCCTACCCTGACCTAGAACCATCCAATCCCCTCATAACAGTGTTATGATGAATGTTCATGGAGTAGTAACACATCATAATGCCCTAGAATAATCCCTCATTATGAGGCAATATCTCACTTTGAGGCCAGAGTTCTCTCACTTCACTTCACTTCACTAAAGCTTCCAGTCCTACCAATGGGGGTGTCAACATGATGACATTTTTGGGAGTAGAGTCTGGTTGCTAGTTTCTTTTTTTTAAAAGCAAGAATTCATACACGCAATGTGCTAGAAGAATATTAAGGTTACAAAGGCAAGCACCAAAAAGTTAAAATATGACATAACTAAAGGGCACATCTACACAGCAGGGCTTAACTCAAAATAAGCTATGCAAATTGAACTACGTCAATTATGTAGCTTCTTTCAAAATGGCTTATTTTGAGTTTTGGTGCTGTCTACACAGCACTTATTTCAAAATAGAGCACTCTTCCCCTGACTTCCCTTACTCCTCATAAAAAGAGGATTACAGGAGTCAGATTTAGAAGTCCTCCAGCTTGACAGTATTTCGACATTGTTGAAATAACTGCCGGCTGTGTTGACGCAAACTATGTTATTTCAAAATAATGCGAGTTATTTCAAAATAACATTGCTGTGTAGACATAGCCTATGGTTGTCAATGCAACCTGAATTTGGTCGTCTTCTGCACATATACTATGATACAGAGTTTAGATATAATAGCATTCTCCTCTTCTTAGCCCTCCTTCCCATTTGTTTCAGAAGTTGGAAAGTGTGTAGTGAATGAGGCAGGGGACTGCAGGAAGAGAAAGGATGGTCTCGTCTCATGGTTAAGGCAATTGAATGCCGCCCTGGAAACTTGGATTCAATCCTCACTGCTGCTATGGCGTTTCTTTCTGGTTGTGGGCAAATTATTTAAATCAAGTTTTTCACAGATGGTAACCAATTAGGTATTTCTCATTTTCTGCATGCTTGAATTGAGTCTGTGTTGATGTGCTGAGTACAGGCAGTCCCCGGGTTACGTACAAGATAGGGACTGTAGGTTTGTTCTTAAGTTGAATTTGTATGTAAGTCGGAACTGGTACATATTGTACCCCAGGTGTCCCCAATTCAGCCGCTGCTGAAACTGACCAGCGGCTGACTACAGGAAGCCCGAGGCAGAGCTG